AAACCAAAATTACCAAATCAACATGCATTTTATGATGCTAAAGTAGATTGTTATTTTAAACTAAGACAAAAAACCAAAGTACATTGTTATTTTTTGCACTTGGGACAAAAACCTAATTACCAAAGTTTTTAGCAAATAATCACCACAAAACCAAAATTACCAAATCAACATGCATTTTATGATGCCAAAGTAGACTGCTATTTTTAAACTAAGACAAAAAACCAAAGTACATTGCTATTTATTGAACTTGGGACAAAAACCCATTTATCAATGCTTTTAGCAAATAATCACCGCAAAACCAAAATTACCAAATCAACATGCATTTTATGATGCAAAAGTAGATTGTTATTTTTAAACTAAGACAAAAAACCAAAGTACATTGCTATTTCTTGCACTTGGGACAAAAACCCGTTTATCAATTCTTTTAGCAAATAATCACCACAAAAAACCAAAGTAGATTGTTTTACCTGTGATGGTTGTGATTGTTGTGGTGATGGTTGCGATGGCTGTGAAATCGGCGGGAAAGCAGAAGGTTTACAGCTGATGCCTCTGATATGGCCACGTCGCTCTCCTAATACTTTCTCAAAAGCAGCTCTTTCTTGAGCGGGTGTTAACTCACTTTCACCTTGTGTTTGTTCTAAGAGCTCTTCGGCTAACCGATTCTGTAACTCCCAAAAGTGAGTAACAATTAAGTATAAATAAACATTTAATTATATGATAAAATTATAATTAAATACTTACATATTGTTGTTCCACCTCAGCAGTAACAAATACATCATCCCTATCGGTATGAGCTTTACGAAACGTTTCCACTCTCTTAATGTTCTGTTTAACTTTAAAAATTAGATTATATTTTAAATAAATAATTACATGTATCGTACGTTACCTTCTTATAGAAAGTATTGTTATACGAGCTCGACCCCCCACGATTCACATTTGTTTGCATTTCACGGACTTTTTTGTTCCTGTCTAAAGCAATTCTGTGTTTGTCCGTTTGGAAATACTCAACTGCTTTCTTCCAGTTATCAACTTCCATACCCTCTGGAGGGTTGGCTAATGCTCTCGGGATATCTTCATACCCTCCAACTAACATAAAATATTCTTTTGCGTCAGCTTACGTTCTCGATAACCTTTTAACAAAGCTGTTTGAAAACTCTATCAACATATTAGCTTGTACATCCTGGCACATCTGATCCAAATCAAACTTTGTATACAAAAAAAAAGACAAGTAAAAACCAGTTATAGTTAACCATATAAAATATTTTTAAATAAATAATTACCCCTAAATGTTGTAATACGGTGTCCTTTATTGCAGGGAAAACTTTTTTCCAACTCTATTTATCAAAAGGGACCATTTGTCACATTGTTTTTCCAACTTCTCGTGAAAACATGTCTTTCGGCTCTCCTACGAGATCAAATGTTATATACCTATCATAGTTCATGCTAATCGGGTTGCCCTGATTCCGTAAGATCACTTTTCAAGCTTTATATTTTTGGCTTTGCCTCGAACTTTCCTACGTGCACATTGCTCAATTACAAATGTAATTAAAAATTATTAGAAACGGTATTTAATTTATAATAACTGAATAAAAATAGTAAATAAAAATTCATAATAAGACTTACGGTCCTGCTCGTGATGACAAGCACCTCTACCACCTTGGAGAGGTGGGTCCTCAGCTCCATCACCCTCGTGTCCACGACCCATAACAGCAGCCATGGTATACACAAACAAAAGCCATATTTACATCATTTCCTGAAAAATTTTAAGATATACAAATACAATTTTTATTACAAATACACATTACATAGAAATAAACATTTACATAGGAATAAACATTTCTATTTAAACTAGAAATCCAAATAAAGTTCATATTACAAACACGTATTACATAAGAACAATTCTAATCAGAATCTTCCTCATACCCTTCAGTGTCTTCTTCGGTATCATAATCAGAATCAGTCTCATCGTAATCAGTCTCGCAATCAGAAACATCATTGACTCCACCGGTTGGCGGAGGAACTTCAGTTGCACTTTCTACATCAATAACGACTCTAGGAATGTTTTGAAAGTACATGCTGAAATCGATAAAAAGTGGAGCATCGAATGAAGAGATATTTTGAAGTACATCGACATTGTCTACATTTTCGTGTGAGCCATTGTCAACATTTTGGACACGATCATCGTTCGATGGTAGATCCCAAATACTTCGATGATTAACATGCTCGATAACACATCAATGGTTATTGTTTGGCTCTATGATGTAGAACACTTGTTTGGCTTGTGAAGCATATATGAGTTGATCATCTTTGTATGCTTCGCGTCGTGTGTCGATACTGGTGAAATTATCACTAGAAATAACTCTTGTTCGAGTATCAAACCACTTGCAACGAAATAGTACAGTTGAATAATCATGTGTATACCTCAACTCTATAATATCTTCTAATTGGCCATAATATTTCTCGCCTTTCTCACCCACCGCTAAAACCCCAGAGTTTTGTGTTGTGCGTTGTGCGTCACGACTAAGTACCATAAACCTAACACTGTTGACTATGCATGCGGTGTAAGAATAAGCATTCATTTGCGGACCCATTGCAAGAGCCGACAAGTCTTTGTGGAATTCTAGAGAGTTTTCTATTTTCATTTGATGAACCTAGCAATTATAAAATAATATGTATTATGTATTCGTTAGATCAATGAAACAAATTTGTTTATTGATTTATATTACCTTTTCACAAAACCAATTACGAAATTCTCTCTTTTCATCACTTTAGGGATGTTCAAATTTGAATTTCCTATGTTGATGACCAAAATATATAGATTTAAAAAGATAAAAATAAAGAATGAAAGTTAGAGATAAGATTAGTTACTTGATATATTGCATGACTTCTTCACAGCTATTGCAACCTGATAGACTACTACGAGCTGGCCAGTCGTTTATTGTCCACAACAACATAGCTCTCATCGTGAAGAATGTGTTTGTCTCCGCATCTTTAATACGTACGCCTGAGTTCCACAAATGTTAAGCTCTTCCACCAACGGCCTAAGGAAAACATCTATATCCTTACCAGGAGCTTTCAGGCCGGGAATCAACAAAGTCAACATGAATGATGACTCTTTCATACAAAGCTAGGGTGGCAGATTGTATGTGGTGAGTATGACCGGCCATGTGCTATGTGGATTACACATGTTTCCAAATGGATTGAAACCGTCAGCTGAAAGACCTAGGCGTACGTTACGGGGTTCACTCGAGAAGTCGGGGTATTTTTTTATCAAAATCTTGTCAATGTTCCCCATCAACAGGATGACGCATCACACCATCTTCTGAACGTCCGGTACCATGCCAAATCATATTTTTGGCAGTGTGCCTCGAACAATATAAACGTCGTAGTCTAGGGGTCACAGGAAAGTACCGTAACACCTTATAAGCTACTTTCTTACCCTTGGTGTTTTTATCGATCCATCGGCTCTCTTTACAAACGGGACAAACTTGCAATGAATCGTGTTCTTTCCAAAAAAGACAACAATCGTTTTTGCACACATGTATCGACTTATACCCAGACCAATAGACTTCGGTTTCTTTTTGGCTAGATAATGTGAAAGGGGAACCTTGTTGCCTTTGGGAAATGCTGATTGCAACAACTCAAGGAGTTGATCAAATGAACTATCAGTCCATTTGTTGTTCACCTTGATATGCATTAACTTTGCTAGAAACTCAAGGGAAGAAAAGATGCAACCAGGATACAATTTAGTTTCCACTTCTTCCAACAACTGTGCAAAATCATCATCTACACCGCTACCCCTTGTATTCGAGGTTCCTTCATCAAGGTTGGTATCATTTTCTCTCGACTCCCACATCACATCGTCGATTAAATTGACCATTTTGTTACTTGGCAAGACGATTGGAGGAATAAAAAATTCACCATGATAGATCCAAATTTTGTAAGACTTACTGAAACCATTTATTAATATATAGCGTTCATCGTTTAAAAAAACGTGAGAAACGCACGCCCCTGGGCGCGCCTTGAGGCGAAGCGGTGGTTGATCGAACTAGAGGCGCCGCCTTAGGGGTAAGATTTGATACGCGCACCTCGTACCAGTGAAGCGTACAGGAATCGATTGAGGCGGTGCGTTTTCCTGATGCGTACGCCTTCAATTTTTTTTTTGACTTTTTGACGTTGACTTCCTTTTTACCTTTGTTTTATTGACCGGTTTTATAATAAAACTGAAAACCCGATTCATTTATTGACCTAATCCACTCATTCGCTCACTCTAAATCGCCGACTTCCTCTTCATCTCAAAATCGCATCCCACCTGCACTTCTTCGGTTGAATCGGTTATGCACTTCTTCTGGTCGATCGAAGGTCTGCTCATATTCAAGGTTAATTTTCTTATTCTTCTATCAAAAGCATTTTGTAATTATTGTTATTATTATTTTGTTCACCAAATGATTTCTTTGGGACTGTCAACTGTGTAACTATGTATCCAAGTTGTCAACTGTGTAACTTAGTTTCTGCACTTCTTCTGATCTGATTTTGTTGCATTCTATTTACAGTAGGATGTCCAGTAAAGGTGGAAGGTTGGACCCTGCTTGGGGTCATAGTGAAGAAGTAATTGAAGAGGGTCCAAAAAAGGCATACAAATATCTAAAATGTAACTATTGTAGCAAAATCATTAAGGGAGGGGTTCAGAGAGTGAAACAACATCTTGCTTGTACACACCAAGATGTAGAGCCTTGTCCTAATGTTCCAGAAATAGTGAAAGAGGAAATGCTTAAGTTTTTGAAAGCATTTCAGGCTACTAAATTAGCTTCTCGAACAACCTTTGAAGAAAATGTAGCAAGTGGGGCATACTACAATAGAGGTGGAAGTGTTGATCCATCATTTACAACTGGTAGCTCTAGGGGTGTTAGAGGACCAATAGATAGATGGATGGTGGGTGGACAGGAGGATGAAGTAGATGGTCCAGGACCTGTAAAAATTACCCCATCCAATGCTAAAGAGCATCGAAACCAAGTTTGCTTGGATATTGGGAGGTTCTTTTATGAGAATGGAATCTCGTTCAATGTATCCAATAGTCCATCATTTACTAATATGGTACATTCTATTGGAAACTATGGACGCGGATTGAAACCCCCTTCAATGCATGAGTTAAGAACTTGGATCCTTCAAGAAGTCAAAACAACAACAATGGTGGATGACATTAAAGCAACTTGGAAGACAACAGGGGTGTCATTGTTATCAGATGGTTGGTCAGGCATGAGAAACCGAAGTTTGATCAACTTTTTGGTCAACAATCAATATGGAACTGTTTTTTTGAGAACTATTGATGCATCAGATTGCATAAAAAATGCTCAAAAAAATTTCGAGTTGCTTGATGAAGTTGAAGAGATTGGGGAAGATATTGTTGTTCAAGTGGTGACCGACAATGCTAGTGCATACAAAGTTGCTGGAGCATTGTTAATGGAGAAGAGAAAAAAACTTGTATTGGACCCCGTGTGCAGCTCACTGCATCGATTTGATGCTTGAAAAAATCGGTGATTTGACTCAACATAAAAATGCTTTGCTTAAAGCAAAAAAGGTTAGCAATTTCATCTACAGCCATCAGTGGGTGTTAAGTTTATCCCGGAAGATTCTGAAGAAAGATCTACTTCGACCAACCGCCACGAGATTCGCCACGACTTTTCTGACTATACAAAGCATTTATGAATCGAAACAAAACTTACAACAAATGTTTGTTTCAAACGAATGGGGGGCATCTTCTTGGGCTAAGAAACCTGATGGTAGAGAGATAAAAAAAAATTATGGATGAAAGAAATTTTTGGCCTAGTGTGGTTTATTCCATGAAAACCACAATGCCACTTGTTCAAGTTTTAAGGCTTGTTGATGGGGAGCAAACACCAGCAATGAGATTTATTTACGGGGCAATGGACGAGTGCAAAGAAAAAATAGCAAAGAGCTTGGATAACAACCTCGCTTCTTATAAAGAAATTTGGGACATTATCGATAAGAAATGGGAGTTGCAAATGCATCGTGATTTCCATGCGGCTGCCTACTATTTAAGTCCACAATATCGATGGAGTCCCAATGTTTCCGAACATCCGGAGATTAAGCGAGGATTGTATGATGTCATGGAAAGGCTCGTGAAGGATACGACAGTTTATTTGAAGATTGAAGATCAACTCGTTGCTTACAAAGAAAAAAGAGGACTATTTGGATATAGAGGTTCTTTATCGACATATCAGACACGTCCACCGGGTATATTATTAAGTAGTCTTGTTATTATAGTTATAGTTTTTGTTTTATATAAATTACATTACTTATTAACTTTTTATAAACATATAATAATTACATGGTGGGGGGAATATGGAGACGATGCTCCGGAACTCAAGTCCTTTGCAATAAAGGTTTTGGGTCTTACGTGTTCCGCTTCAGCTTGTGAACGTAATTGGAGTACGTTCAATCAACTCCATACCAAGAGACGCAACCGCTTAAACACCGAAAGAATGAACAACTTGGTTTACATCATGTACAATAAAAAGTTGAAGTTAAAGTTCATTAAGAGGACTAAATTAAAAGAAGATGACCCCTTAATTGTTGAACATTTATTGTCGGATGATGAGTGGATAGCCGCCCCAAGTGATGGTGAGGAAGATGAAATTGGAGGTGGCGGGATATTAGGGGAGGAAGATGGCGGGGTAATTGGAAGTGCTAGAGGTGGCAGGGCTATTAGAAGACCTAGAGGTGGCGAGACAATTGGGGAAGGGAGTGGAACTAGGAAAAGGAAAAATGTTCAAGTGAATTTGATTGACGAGGATGACGGGGATGAAGTGAATTTGATTGACGATGACGAGGGTGACCAGTTTGAAAATGATGCGAATGATGCTGATTATTTTATTTGAACTTATCACTAACTTGTGCTTTTTTTGTGTGTGTTTCCTATGTGGCTGTTTTTTGAAGTTTTAGACTTTGATGTTC